AACTCAATAGACCAGTGCCTATTGTGAAATGGTTGCAAAAATAATGAGTGTCATTGTGATGTGGTCAGTAAACCTTGCCCAACCACATCAAAGGTATTACATTAGCAATAAAGCTGACGACGATTTATTGTTCTACTTTTGGCAACAAATAATCTCACAGTGCATCTAATACCAAAAGAACAGTGCTTTTGAAAAGCTACATTTGACAAAGTTGCTCTATTTATTAAAACTCTTAATTAAGAGTTAAAAGATTTGTCTGTCAGTATACCTGTTAAATTCACTTAATAGTTTACTGCTCTCTGCTTCAGGTGGATAGGCATACAAATCACTGGATTCTAAACTTCTTCTGCAGCCTAAACAGAACAATGGTTCTATCCAACTACAAAAGAAACTCATCAATAGCTTTAAACTCGCTACATAAATTACCAAAATAGCATCCTCGAAAAGATGTTGTACTTTGCTTTACCCCTGGGATCATCTCCAGGCCGATCCATCATTCATAAATATCTCAAAACCTTGCAAAGCGATTGTTAGCTTAGCCTTAGTAAATGATGATTCCCCGCCCCTTAATTATCTCTTTCTCTGATTGGTCAATCATTTGTATTATGCATGAGTTAATCATCATGATAGTCACTGACAATAGTATGTAGAGCTATTTCCTACAAATATTCAGGCATTGAATTGCTTACACACATATATACAGGAGATGTACTATCCTGGTTCGATTCTACTCGTATTGTTGAGTTAAGTTATTTAATCAGCTGTTTATTATACTGTTCAGTTCGAACGGTTCAGTTAATAATACTCATATTATTTATATAGTATCTTGTGGTTCATTGATAGATCTAATGTAATGTCTTGCAACTGAATTTTGGATAGCAGATGTAATATTAACCATTCTAAGTGCATGCATTCATGAGTACTTCAGACAATTATATGTGAGTGACACGCACATTACACATGTTATGATATTGCAATCTAATTATGGTAAAAGTACACAAAGAACATGTAGCTAATGGGGTGTGTCTATATACCGGAGACACCCTCTTCAATGGATCTATTTCTTTGTGTGTTACTTGCTACAACATTTACTTCTACATCAGGTAAGGATAGTCATTAAACTTATGCTGAAATGTGATTCAGGGGATGTACTATTCTGGTTTGATTCTAATCATATTGTTGAAGTTGGTCAATCAGCAGTTTATCATTGTTCAGTTAATGATACTCATTTCAGTATCACTTGGAACATTAATGGATCCAATGTATTGCCAAGTGATGTTGATGTAGTTGGAGCAGGAACATTATCATCCAATCTCACTATACCAGGAATACCTCAATTCAACAATACCCAAGTGAGGTGTATTGCAATTGGATTAGTAGATGGTAGTATATACTCTAACTTCGCTGAGTCTATACTGAGAATGCAATTATCATCATGCATTATATATAATAATAATTATGTACATTTTAAATCAGGGATACTAGCTACAGTTATTGATCTATCATGTGAACAAGCAGATAGACTCTGTATAAAGTGTAGTTGGAGTCCTCCATTCTCACTGACTCCAGTATCACAATATATTATTAATATTAGTTATGCTGATAAAGAATACACTACAGTACTGGCTGTACTGCCAACTAGCAACATCTCTTACTGTCCTAGTCAGTATGGCCAGTTTAGTATCAGTGTGTCTGCTAGTAATACTGTTGGACCTGGGAATGTGACATATGCAACAATAGACATAACACAAACAGGTTTGTGTACTGTTGTTGTGAACACTATTATGAGCTTTTATTATCAATTTTAGAATACACACTGAATTTTAATGCTCAATACTTAAAGGAATCAGACAATAGCTGGAATGTAACTATAACTATTGAAGTAAGTGGAATAATTTTTAACTACATGATGGTAATACGATGACTCAGAATGGGGCTGATTTTATTCCTTCTTCCATAAACATTACTGTATACTTGATTGATGCAAACAGTGATTCAGACAGCATCATTATACTAAGACCAGGAATTAATGAAGTACCGATATATGAGGAAGCAGACCTTGTACTTTCTGTAAATTTGGGGACTTTACCTGATAAAATATGGAAACTATGGTTTAGCTTAGAATCTCACTCATTCTTCATAAACTCACTGACAACCAGATTCAGTAAGTAATAATAAACAATAATCATGTGATTATCATATGATCATCACAGGTACATTTGATATTATTAACGGTAACTACTCAGTGACTAACATTACCAGTGGAACAGTTTGTTTCACATGTCAGTTCATTGAAGGAGTAGGGACCAATACTTGTTATATTGAATACAGTTCACTGTACACTGGACTAATAGGCAATATCACTATCAATAGAACTGATAGTATTGCTACCAGTTGTATCAAAGGATTTTATACCGATATTTACTCTATTAGATTTTATGATGACAAACATGATGAGTCTCCTGCCATTGAATTGGACCATCAGTTGATAACTGGTTTATATATTGATAATACACTAACAACATCATGTGTAACTGAAGGCAAGAGTACTCTTGCTGAAAGTGACACAATGTACTTAACACCTTCTCCAACTCTCATTCAATGCACAAGTAATACAGACACTATTATTATCATTATTATTCATTTCTTATTATTTAGGGCCAGTTGACACAGAATCATCAGCTTATATAATAAGTGGTACATTACATTTGTTAGATGCAATATGCATTATATGTGTTCTGTAGGTGTAACAGTGTCAATCATACTAATAGTTAGTGTACTTATACATATTGGACTAGTAATAGTGTGTGTCAGGAATACGAAAAGTACATCAGCTCATGGTAAGTTATTATTTTGAGTTTTAAGTTATTTATTATGTTGGATTAGAAATATCATCTGTAACTTCTCCAGTGCCTCAGTATGAGAATGTAGAGTTGATGCCTGCTACTTCATCTCTTCCTCCTCCATTATCAGTTGATGAGTTGCAGTTGGAATCATGTGCTGCTTATGGTGTAGTATCACAAAGACATTAAACTCTAACATGCATACATGTAGACTAAATGTGTTTGTATCTTTAAACGATGTGTATCTATAAATGTCACTCCATTTTATTACAGTTATCAAAGCTATTAATGTTGTTTTTCATTAGTTGCACCCCCTATCTATGGTTGTATCAATGCCTTTACTCATCATGACAAATGATGATGTTATAAAGTAAACAAGTCAAGATTTACAAAATGACACTCTTCTTATTGTTACTGATATCAGTTATAGTGTCTACATCAGGTTAGTACTGAGAAGTTCTATATAATAGGATTCACTATCTGATTACTGGTAGGCAATGTTGAGGTGACATTCACTTTATCTCATGATCCTCCTACTATTGCTGAGGGAGGTACAGCAGTCTTCAACTGTTCATCAAATCATTCACTTGTCACTATTACTTGGTACTTAAATAAAACAGTATTAGCTTCAACACTTACTTCACTTGGTGTTATTGTTAATGGAGCAGCAACACCAGTCTCTTCTCTCATTATGCCAGGACTAGTGGATCCATTCAATAACACTGAAGTACAATGTGTGGCATTTGGGTTTGGTATTGGTGACTTCAGTCCTCCTTCAGTTATACTGAGAGTACAAGGTAGACCAGAACCTGTTAATAATCTAACTGTAGTACAGTTTTGTGTGTGTTATCAGTTCAATTGGATACCTCCTTTCACTCTACCTGGTTTTCCTAT